AGATCGGGCCTTCTTATCCATACCCGCAAAATCTTCCTTTGACGTACCATCTGGAATGTTCTCAGCACCAAATGCCAAATCAACTCCGTCTTGAGCCAGAATGGCCTCCATCTTGAGTTGCCACATGCCGAAGTTGACATTTCTGTCGAATTTCTCGACAACAATCTTTGTTATTGTCATCGTTGCCAAAAGATCCCAGAACCAGGCTATGATACCAGTTTGTTAGAGCTAGCCCCAGGATATTTACCAAAGGATAATTTTGGCAACACAACAAAGACAATAAAGCGGAAAGAATAAAGCGACAAGAACAACAGAATACCAGATATACGTGGTTCGGTCAATTGACTTTGACCTACATCTACGGAAGAAAGAGGAGCAAATTACTATTATAAAAGAGGGACACTTACAAATGCAAAGCTCAGGCCCTTATTTATAGTTCCAAGACGAGACAACAAGTCTGATTTTCCCGATGTGGGACCATGAGACTTGCCAAACTAACAATAAATACCAAGAAAAATTCCATCATTCGAACCACGCGAAAGCAATGCCATATGTGCCGCACACAGTAAATATATATGACCTCAATTGGATTTTTGTTCATTCTATAAAAATCATTATCATGATATCAAAACAAATTATGAACAAGAGAAAAATGTGATCTATGAGAGGGAGAAGAAAAGGTTAATACTGGACGAAAAAGAACAAAGAAACGGAGATGAAATGGTTGGATTGGAGAAAAGCATCGATTTAGAAAGAGATAAGGAGGGAGACATTCGAAGTCGTAATCAATAAAAAAAGAGGATCACATTGACTCGACCGCATCTCCATGTCGTATACTTAATCGTTGCAAGCCAACGTAACCTAATCATTAGGACGTCCTCGATATGACCCTCTTGGATTCTTACATGAATAAGAATTTATCGATGGGTCGTTCCTTATGCTATGGTAAAATTATCGTAATTACGATCGAATTAGATTACAATATGGTCGGTCTATTGAGTTTCTTCTAATCAAATTAGTAGCTTGATTGGTCAAATTTTAGATTTAATAAAATACATTTGCTTCGATCTTTTATTTCCAAATATGAACTATCAAAACAATTTACTCAAATTCTTTGAAACATTATTTAATATTATAATATTTATTAAGATTTAAAATGTTATCATATGTCATGCACCTATGGACAGGACAAGATGGGCGTGGCTACCTCATGTCCTCTTCCCTTTTTTCGCCCTAATGTTCTCTTTGCTTTGGCCCTTTCAACTGTTACTTGCTGCAACCAATGCCTTCGACCTTCCACTGGCTTTTGTGCAAAGGCTCCCTCTCGTCGGCGACAAACAAATAAATTGATCGCTTGACATCTGTCGCCGGATGACTGGATAACTCTGGCGTCGCCTCCTGCTTTGGCCAGTATGGGCGGACAGCGACGGCGGACGTCACTGCGACTGTTCCTTCCGATAGGCCTCACATGTTGCCCACGGTCCAAAGATTAGGGCAGTCAACCACAAGGCACAGCTCCCATGTTAATGTTCGAGTCTTTCTTGTGCTCAGAAAAGGAAAAGAGGGGCCACGAAATCTACCGTGCTACTTACCAAATCCAGATTACTATTTGGGTAGTTCGGTGATGTCAGGAGGAGGGCGGTTGATGCAGCAGGGAAACAAGGGTGGCAAGATCCGGTGAGTACGATCGGTGCAGCTTATCGAGAATCCAACGAACCATGATCTGTAACGTGATGGGGTCCATCTCATGAATTATCAGATACATGCACGCCAATGGCTTAGGGTTAGTAACAGAAGGATCAAGAAAGACGATGACACGCGCCCACCATTCCCCGCCTGCTGATCCTTCTCTGTGTACCATAAATTCCACATGGATGGTGGAAGCACTGCCTCCCTTCAGTGTCTGCTTCTCAGGCGTTGCTTGTTTCCACTGGTTTTCGTCCTCCATGTCCACTATTTATGAGATATAAAGTCTCCGGGAAGAGCGCAGGGACAACAGCGACAGCTTTCGGTTGTCATCTCCCATATATGTCAGAGAGAGAAATGATTGGGTAGCGATGGAGGGAACCAGTAAGGATAGCATCGGCTACGAAGCACAGGCGGCGGCTCCCTTCGTGGAGAAGACGTATGCGATGGTGAACGATCCAAGGACGGACTCGTTGATCCTGTGGGGGAAGAAGAACAACAGCTTCCTGGTGCTCAGTCCCAACGAGTTCTCCCAGTTCCTGCTGCCTTACTATTTCAGGCACAGTAACTTCTCCAGCTTCGTCCGCCAGCTGAACACCTACGTCTGTAGTGTCACTCCTTGCTCGATCTTTTCCGCCTGCAATCCTTTGCATCAGAACTGTTCATGTCTATCTTCTCTTATCGTGTTCAGGGATTCAGGAAGGTGGATCCAGATAGGTGGGAGTTCGCTCACCAGTCGTTCCTCAGGGACCAGATTCACCTCCTTCCTCGCATCATTAGGCGGACCAAGAGAGCCCATGCTGGCTTGTTTGCCTGTAGCAGCAGCAGCAGCAGCAGCAGCGAGAAGGAGAAGGGAGCCATGGAAGGGGAGGTGGACGAGATGCTCCTGCAGGAGCTCTTTAGGTTACGGCAGGAGCAGAGGGCCCTCGAAGAAGAGCTGCAGGTTATGAGCAAGCGATTAAAGGCTACCGAAAGGAGACCGCACCAGATGATGTCGTTCCTTGCTAAAATGGCTGATGACCCTCGATCGCTCTCCAGGCTCGTAATCTCCAAGCAGCAGCAGCAGCAGCAGCAGTCTTCCACAGCAGCGAAGAAGAGGCGTCTCATTATTTCTCCTCCTCCTCCTCCTCCTGCTGCTGCAACCCAGCTTGATGATGGACTCTTCCTGCCTTCCATTCTGGTTCCAGGGATTCAACAGACAATGTTCGAGCCATTAGATCATGGAAGTGATCAGTTGATAATGGAGGAAGTGAAACCATTTGCACTCATTACCGATGTTTCCGCCATCAACAGCTACGATGCTGAGCTTATCGGTCCCAATTCTGCAAGCGAAATCAGCTTCCTCCCAGAATTCGAACTGAGCATGACGGGTTCAGAGACAGCGGCGGCGGAAGCCAACTTTCCATTCTCACTACTCGGCCATGGATTCTACTAGTCATTGTAAGCAAAAGACTACCCCAAACAGACGTTGCACCTGCATCTTAAGAAGATATTGTTTACCATTCATAAATTTGCTTAGCTCACCTCTATAATCAAAATTAATGTACCCTATTTACTTATAATATTTATTTGAGGAAGCTTGAGCAGCAAAGTTCCCTCAAGTCATACGTCAAGACTAATTGAAGCTATGCCCAAGCATATAATTCATTGCCACCGGCGGAAAGTAAAGCAAGTAGATCTATAGCTTGTCGAGTTAAAATGGCTGCTTGCTTTGTACTAGTTTTAGCTCCATCGGCAGTCATCTGCTTCGAACAGAGAGACATGAGGGGGCAGTGATTACCTCAGCGCAGCATGAGCAGATAAGAAAATTTTCTCAACATTTTCTTCGTGTCTTCTGCCACCATTCATCATCATCATCATCCTCATCTTCTACCACCCACCACACATCGTCGTCTTCTTACGTTTGTCGCACTTTGTGAAAATTAGATTCATTGAAATCTGACAAGGAATATATGTAGACTGTTAAACTATGAAGCACACTAAGCATTCCGACGGAAGAAAAAAGAAACGTAAAGCAGACCTTATCATATATACTATCATGATATAAGAAAGTAAATATTGGAATTGAGACAAGATGCAGTTGGACAACCATCATTCCATACACTAAAACAACCCAGATGACACTGAAATCAGTGAGAAAGGAAACACTGGTTATGACAACTGGTATGTGTACACATGTAACAAGATCAAAGGTTCCATGAACCACCATGAATAGGAGTCAATTAGTTTCTACTTACTATTTCAAGTTGTGAGCAGAGATAAAGAAAAAATAAGAAAGGAACAAAATGTGAAGTACCACTTTTCACTTTGATAATCAAGGCAATCAAAATGAGTACTTTAGGCATCTTCCTATGAGTGAATCCAAATGACATTAAAGCCTTTAGATCATGAAGCCTTGAGTTTATTCCATTCTCTAGACCCTCCCTGCTTGCTACCATCTCATAGAGAACATGGTCATAATATTCAATCGAATGGCCTCAAAGGAGCTGTGTACCAAGACAACAAACAATAGCATCAAAATGATTAAAGAGATATTGAACCATGGATCGATCTGGTCTAAAGACACTTTAGCATCAATGTTATTACATCAGAATAAATGAAGGATACAGTCGAATCCTTAATTAATAAACCTAAAAACGAAATTTCCAAGGAAAGATAAACCTTCATAATTCAAGAGAATTCACATGCCCATTGAGAAGATTAAAGTTTCCACACTAGGTAACTTGATAGAAAGGCTTTCAAAAATATCATAATAAAAATGACAAACACTCCCACTAATGCAGGGTTTAAGGAGGGTTAATGTACGCAGCATTACATTTAAATAGTTTAAAGAGATTATTTTCGTGACTCAAATCCTGATCTCTCCGGTTACAAAGGACCAACCTTATCATTGTACTAACCCTGATCTCCAAGAATACCACAATAAAAGTGAAAAATTACCTTTCTCTAAAAATCAATAAAAAGCATAAGAGGTTATCCAAGTTCGACAACGACAAGACCAAGCCATGAGGCAGATCCAAACCATCTGGGTAGGCTTACATGAAAGCTTTCCCACCACCGAGTTCTGTCAAAGAAAACATCACTAGTTAAACTAAGGACAACAGATCTTATTTCACTGTTTCCAACAAAATTTTATTTAGTCTTCTTTTACCTCTCCATAGATCTCCTGAACATGCCCATACAATCTTAAATGTTCCTCCATTATACCATGAAAAAGGTAGAAAAGTGTGTATAACCCTTGGATCAGCAGTGCAAAATAATCAAGATTGGAAGTCGATGATATTAAGAAGGATAGCTCGGAAGTCTGCTTGAAAGGCTCTTGGAACAAGGAAACACAGAAGCATACAGAACGCAAGATTCGATTGGACCTCATGGTAACATGAAATACAAACAGCACACGAAATGCAGGACCGATTGGCCAACCTATTAGCTTCGACTATCCAAGACAAAATCAGACGATCGAACGATGCGTGGAATCGACCAAACTAACTAGACATCTAGTACACCAAGAGTAATTATAATGGGAAAATCAACAAACAGTTGGTCTGCAACATGGATCGCCAACACCATATCAACCTGGAAAGACCAAATAATATACTCGATCCTTCACGACCGTACAAAAAGAACGACAACAAATAAAAATAAAAAAAAGGCAGCCAGCAGTACCTGAAAAAGAGGTGGAGACCGACCAAGGTAGCTGACGACAACGGTCTGCACGGCCGAGAACTTGGGAAGCGACGTTCTCGCCGTGGCCGGCCGGCCGGATGTATAAGAGGAAGAGGATAAAGGTCTGCTGGGGTCTCGTAGGGCGGATTTCGCCTCTCAACAACGTGAAGGATATGAAAGGTAACGACGACGATGGTAATAGTAATGCCGAGGTTTAGACAGACAAACGCACCGAAGCCGGAATCAACGTGACCCAAACCCGACGCTTCTAACGCACGCGACGGGACCTCAAGGCGTACGAAATTAGTGGCTTGGCACGTGTCAGTCGGCACCCCGTTCTTTTCAGAACGGAATGAGATTTGCAACTGTTGGCTATTGATTAAAACTTGCAGGGATGTTATTATATATATATATATATATATATAACGTTGATCACAAAAGCAATAGAGTTTCATTTGAAGTTTTATGATAAGAGAATGGGTTTTAAGCTCCACTGGATGCTTTAATGCGGTACTCGAAAGGCTTTATGCTTGATGGCGACGAGAGCCCAACTCCCACCGCTGGTGTATTCATGGTGGCGCAAAAAGAACAGATTCGCCTGTGGAGAGAATAGATTTAAAGGGAAACGAAGGCCATACCGGAGAGCACTCACTGCCTCCGAGGGGAACTGTGGCTGAAGCATGAGTTCCAACAACCTCGCCTTGATGAATCCCCGGGGTGGTGGGAGGTATGGGTATCTGCTAGGATCGTCGTCGCCCGATCACGACCGTCGTCATCCCATCGAGCGGCCGGTCGTCCCGCATCCCCTGCAACGACGGCCGGTGAGCCCCGTCGTCGCCGTGCATGCTGCTTAGCATCTCCACATCTGCCGCTTACGTGTTTCTTCCCCGCAGGAAGAGGACTTGTTCGGTCCATGGAGGTTGTTCGAGGAGAGGGTGAGGACGGGACCCTTCGGCCTGACACGGTAAACTTGGTATCACTCGCACAATTAGCATATGATCAAATGGATTCGCGTAACGTTCTTCCTGAGTCGATGGGTTTCTTCATCAGCTTCCCTCTGCAACCCCATTCTCCGGTCCGAATCCTGGTGCTCCAAGGAGGCTCTGATGACCGGGTGAATCCCGGACTCATGCAGTTCATCAGGGATTCGCCGCCACGGATCAGGGGGCGGTGGCACCTCGGCCAAGCCCCGGAGGCGGAGGAGGACCCTGGCCTGACCGAGGAGGAGTTCAACAAGGCCATGAAGAAGCTCAAGAAGAAGGTGTACAACCCACCCAACCACCGGAAGAGGGCTTGGAAGCGAGGCCTCTTCAGCAGCAGGACCAGCAGCGGCGGCGGCGCCGCAGCCGAGGGGGAGAAGGAGGACGGCAAGGATTGCACCGTTTGCCTGGAGACGTTCGTGGCCAACGAGCCCGTCCTGGTGACGCCGTGCAACCACATGTTCCACAGAGACTGCTTGGAGCCGTGGGTGAGGAGCCATGGCAAGTGCCCGGTGTGCAGGTATGTGTTGTGCGAGCGGAAGGAGAACGCACTGGTCCGAATCAACAACGGTGGCTTCAGCGCCAACCATGTCCGCAACGACGCCAGGGGTTTGTATGACCACGACTATGTGGAAGACGACGACTTGATCTCGGACATCATCACGCTCATCAGGGCCATGGAAGAGGCTTTCAACTGGGTCAACCACGCTCCCGCTGCATCGTATCGCTGAAAGCGGCATATACACAAGCACGTGGCGTGAATGTGATGGCTGTGTGTCGACGATGCTGGGTGTCAAGAATCCATCTGTATGCTTTTGCTGGGTTGCTTAGGTCCTACGTAGACAAAATAAGATGCCAATTAATGTTGGTGCAGTTTCGATTGTGTCATTGCTCTCAAAATAATACTAGTCGGTGAAAGACACGTACGTTATGCAACAATTTTATACAGTTCTACACAGGAGAAATCACAAATCAAGCTAAGCTGTGCATGATGAAGTCATTAGAAGGACCCGGCATGAACTTGCATTCCTGCTAACATCGAAATGTAGAAGTCACATTTCCATTAGTTTAGTTGGGATGCTGTTTGAATACCACAGGCATATATAGACGCACTAAAACAAGTAGGAGACTTAAGTACACATCTCATTTTGCTTGATCACTTGAATGATGTAGTTTGGTTTAGCTATTTCCTGATAACGATGTTGTACGACTCCATGACACTGACTTCTGGTGAATAAGTATCAGATGAGGGGCGCACTATTGATCACTCGACGGTCAAGTTTGCTTGAAAGGAAGCTTGACAAGTAAACTAATGAAGAAATCTTTTTCTTCACAAAAGCACAAACTGTGCCCAACAGATGTTGGAAGTCGAGTAATTTACAAGATCTACATTGATGCTTGAGCACTTCACCCTTTTTGATCAGCTGTCTCGAATCAAGTTGGTAGGCTCACTTAAAACATACTTTGGTAGTTCATATTTGGCACCTGCAATAAAGAATGCTTGTGAACGAGAATTTCGCAGATATGACCATCAAAGAGTGCTAATGAGATAGCGAGGAAGAAGCCTCTATTTACCTCTTTCATCATAACAAAGAGTCATGTCAGCATTTGGAATAATTATGCCTGCACTGTCGACGATAGCTTGAGCAAGGTCTAAATCAGCTTCTGCTGCAGCTCGGAGTGCATCCCATATTTCTGCCATGGGTAAAACAAATTGTTTGGACCAAAACAGTGATTTATACCAAAAACCTACGAGTCATCACCTAATGAAAAAAGGTCATGCATGAACAACGATTTCACAATGGTTTCACATTCATACGCTAAGCTCCTGTTCTGCTGGAATAGAAATTCTAATACTCTAGATGGCGACAATGAGAAGTGCAGCATCTACATGCTTTATCACAAGTTATGCAATTGTTTAATCTGTAGTTATTAACTTGTTGCTGTATCCAATGCATATGGTGACAAAATTTTAATATTGAGAATGCTGCTTCAATTCAGGAAAGATGTCTACGCTAACATCACTGAAGACGCCCCATTTATGACTTCAATAAATGTCTTCAAGAGATGATTTACTAACCATCATTTCTCTACCAAGCCTCTTTTGGTCAGTGCACAAGAGATTTATATAGTTTAATGAACAAATATACATGTATTTAATGATGGTTTTGCGAAAATCTGCAACAGTCGTCAACGACAAGATGTAAATGCAGAGGAAAAAAGTAATGGAACGAACCTACAGACCAAATCAACCTTTCCAGTAAAGATGATTGGCTCCAGCACAAAGTATTCATCTTAATTTGATATTTCTATAGGTATATAATATTTTTACATTTAAGTCAACCATTACAGCTCTGCAAGTCTCTCCTTGAAAATAGTACTTCATAAAATATCATAACAACAGGAATATTTAATATAGCATACTTCCATCAAATGCTCAGTACCATCAGACAAAAAAGGAAAGCTTGTTTGAGTGCTTATCTGCATCCCTATTTAGTATGCAAAAGTGTCTGTGCTCGTGATGGACATCCTCAAAATTTTGTTTCGGCTATGGAAACTTTCTATAGCTGAGAAAGAAACCTGTCCTAGAACAATTCAATGTGCTTCCCTTTACTAAAGAACCAGAAATCTCATAACATCACTAAAACAGCATGCAGATATAACTAAATGATCAAATTTTTGAAGGAACAATTGATTTCTTAATATAAAACCTTGCAAGAAAATTCATTAGCCAAAACTTGTTTTATCAGAATTTCATTTATTTTATCAAGTCATTTTGACAAGCCACTATTTACTTGGAGAAATGTTTTCTACGGTGACAAGCCACCATTTACATGGAGAAATTTTGTTAATAAAAAACCTAACAGGTTATTTACAAGCTAAAATAAGTAAATTTTATTAGCCTTATGGCTATTATGGAAAGGGTAGAAAACTGATCCAAGAACTTGTGATATCTGAACACCGTCTTAAAAAGAAAAAAACTTCTGCCTGCGAGATGAACTTTATCAACTGAAGTTAAAAGGTTTCTGATTGAAAGGCCACACTCTCTTGTTGAATGTAAAATAAGTTGTGTGCTAAACAAACATGTTAAAATATATAAAACCAAGAGCTGTAGAAATTATCAGAGGAAGGGAGCACCTTTTTGGCCGCCATAGTGAGGGGCTGTATCCCAGAATTCATCGCGCATCTGCTTGAGCTGTGCGCGAGTCATTTGCTGTGTATGCTTCCAGGGCTTTGGTTTTTGAAGTTTTTTAGTATTCTCTAGGATCACTAAAGTCAATCAGACCATAGACAAAGAAACTCATTCATTACTGACAATCAAGTAAAAAACTTTGGTGCAAGTTACTTAAAATTAATAAAATGGGGAGCTATTGAGACATTTGTTTCTGATGATTTGAAGAACAACAGAAATAGAATCTTGAATAAAGCATAAACTTAATGCATCATAATTCAGTTATGATGGATGCATCAATGTGCAAGCCAACTCAATTTACAAAAGTATCCATTGTGCTAAAAAGTCAAGACATCCAATAACAGAAACCGTGAATTACTGTGGTACAAAGAAATCTTGAGTTCACCATTAATATCAGGTCATGATTATTTCTTGGCAACACACATCATGAATTAGAAATGTCATTAAAAAAAAAAGAAACCAAAGCATAAGTACATTTCTTTCATCATAAATCAAACTACATGAATACGATGCATTTATGCGAAAGGAACCAAGTATCAACATAGAAAGAGGCACTAAGGAATAAACCAAAGTATCAGAATAAATAATTATAGAGATAAAACATGCTTGGCAAACATTCAGATTAATTCCATCCCACCAAAAGAAAGTCTATCATGACCTATCAGGATTAAAAGAATAAGGCCAAAATATATGTAATTCAAAATTAAAAGTTTCATGTACTCTTCCAGTTTCTTGCATAAACATCATTGCCAATGGGCCCCTTATCTGATAAAAACTTCAAATCTACATATGACCTCTTCATAATAACATGACTATCAATCATTCATATAAAAAGGAAGTACAACTTTGGCAGAAGGCTAATTTTACAAAGAGGAGATATCATCCAGAAAAATTGGATTCTAGCAGCAAGCTTACAGCATGGTTTTCAATTATCCATTTACAAGTTACTTTTCTATCCTAGAGAGTCGTGAAAATAATATAGGAACTTGCTTTTCCAGATGAACATGACTACTCTTGTTTAGCTAGTCAATATAAATGTGTTCTTCTTGCGACTCCCTTTAGAACCGTGTACTTCACTCAGTATGTTTGGCAGCTCTCCATCCATGCAGAAGAGGTAAAAAGCATCTGTTACACTAGCACTTTCTGACTAGCTTAACGATGACAAGATTCAATAGTAATATATTCTGATTAAACCTGTTCCATGCATACAGCAGCAGTGTCAACTTCTGAAGTCTCAATAACCAAGATGACTAAACCTGGACACTTCTCATGCTTGTGATACTTTATAGAAACACTCTATAACCTGACATCACTTACACCCATAGGCTACAGCTATAAAAACCTATGACAAAGCTGGTTTTTGAACTTGCAATCTCTGCGAGGATGAAGCACAAAAGAAAAGGAAGGAACATGATCATTCGATCATATCACATATCCGACATCTAACATGAGTAAGGCAAGTTCACGATGACAAGTGGGACATCATTTCGCACCATGAACATGCTAGTCCGCAATAACACATCGCATAATAAGTAATGGGTACTCGATGTGTATGTTGTATCGATGGACTAAAGAATTGTGACTCCATTATATGGTGGTCTACTCGCAATATAAGACCAATGGTACATGATAACAAATCATACATCAGAAACAATTACAGAGAATAATAGTGATGAAAGACTATTTCCAATGTTGGATGCACGTTAGAAAACCCCATATCCAAGTTTCCCCTCGTGTGCTGCGAGTCTATAGTCAAACAGCAGCCGGGACAGAACGCCCCCAAATACGAAGACGTGAACATAACACGTCGTCAGTGAAAGGAAAAAGAGATGATCAACGGTTTAGTAATCAAGGACAACAATAGAATCGAAGTACAAGCGTAAGAAGAAACAAGAAGTGGGATCGGAATTTACCGTCTCCTTTGGCGGGAGTGGATCCAGCGCAGCCCATCTTGATGCGCCCCCAATTCTACCCAGCCGCGATCGGGGAGAGAAGGGAGATCAGACCATCGGGACCCACTGCCGAAGAGGGAGAAGGGCAAGAAGGGGCGGAGATTGGGGTGGTCGGCGCCTCGGGCTCCGCCGAGGATCTCGAGATGGGAAAGGGAAGAGGAGTCGGGGTCGGAGTCGGGACGGGGAAGCTTCTGCCTCGAGGTCAATTGATCGCGTGCGTCGCACCGACGCAGATAAAGCGAGACGGCAACCGAATTATCCTATTTCTTTTTATTTATTTTCTTATTTATTTTTTCCGAGCGAGGAGCGACTGGCGTTCGTGTCGGTAATTACGAGACACGAACAAAGCACCTCTCACAAAAATACCTAATTAAATAATTTATATTTAAAATACAAAGCTGATCATATTATATAATATCAAAAAATATTTAGATAATTTATTAATATAGTGGGCTTATCCACGGCCCATTACGAGACGGGCAAGTGAGATAGTGTGGGCCGGCCCGGAAGAAGCTTACCTTGATTGATCCCAATTGAATCGGATATGGATTCATGTCTAGATCCGGTTGAAATGTTCATACGCATAAGCCAAATGCAAGTGATTCTTCTCTCTCTCTCTCTCTCTTAATCTTTGGCATCTGAGGGGGACAGAGATGGGAGGTCGAGAAGAAGTCCATCACTTGGGAAGCGGATCTCAAAGTTAAGGAGTACTTGTGCCCCAACCAATGCTTCGATCTCCGCCAGTTGAGACAGGCTGCAACAAGCTGGATATTCTTTCTCTTCATGAAGCATGTCACGGCGGTGCCTCAAACCTGAGCGCACATACTATATATATACATTGTTTGTATCATCACACTGTGGGTGACTTCAGAATCCGACAGCAATTATTTGTGGAGTGGCCGCGTGCCAGCTCAATCGCGGCTGGTTGTCAGCTCATCATAACATGTCTGCACCAACTTTACCAGGTCTCGTATGGATGCCCAAATCAAGGTTGCCTCTGATGGGCTGTTCACTCATGTCAGCATCAGGTTCTGCTGCTGATCCTCTAGCCCAAGCTTTTTCTTCTTGATGTGTGCACCGTTTGTCAGATTAAGTCGTCCAAGGTTACGAGGTGATCTCAAAGATTATGTTGCTTTCTGCCCCCTGCTGGACGCGTGGCCATGGCGGTAGCCAAACCAGATGAACTCCAACCTCGCTCGTCTCTTCTTACCACCAGCACAGGAGGAGTTGAGGAAGAAGAAGCAGTGACCCGAGCCTTCCGCCCGCGTGATGGAAGAGTTGTACGAGTCGGAGGTGGTGTGGCCGGACGGCCACGAGGAGCGGCCGAGCGACGCGGGGAGTAGACCGTGCAGCTCGTCGCGGGGTCGGACTTGGACGGCCTCCGCGCCGATGGATGTCCCGAGGACCCGGCGCGTGCCTGCGACCGGCGAGGCCAGCATCGGTGATTACGGTGACGAGGAGCGAGAGACGGAGATGGTGCCGCCGCATGTCTTGGCGTCTCGCGGTAGGATGGTGGGGAAGGCGGCCTTCTCGGTGTGCACCGGCCAGGGGAGGACGCTCAAGGGCCGGGATCTGAGGCACGTCCGGAACTCCGTGCTCCGGATGACCGGCTTCCTTGAGGACTGATGCGTGCGTCCTCGGTGGAAGTAAGAACAGGAGGAGGAGCTTCGCTTCAGCTTCTTGTGATCTTGTGAAGCATACCGCTTGCTACATTAATGAGCATCCTTCCTTCCTCTTCTCACAAGATCACCGTGGGAACTGAGTTCCTACCCTGTACTTCATTCCTTTTTTCTTTCTGCTCGATGAAATGCCCAGGTAAGATCTGAGTCCAGCTGACTTCATGATTTCATACTTCCAGCTTAATCCAGTGTTCTAATCTTGATATCATGCATGTATCTGTTCCCAAGTTTCGTACGTAGATACGTTTCTAGTTAGAGGACGATCGATAAACCACAGCTTTGTCATTTATATCGAGTGAAGAGACCTCCCTTCATTGAATCCTTGCTTGTGTTAGGAACTATCTTGTTGCTGATTCTTCACCGACTACGGTTGTGAAGATACACTTTCATAGACTCATTGATGCATAATAATGTAGTGCTCGAGATTGCTTTTCTTTCTATTCCTTGTTTCGAGAGATTGGAGCATGAAAACTGTTACGTAAGTATGACATGCATGCATGAAGAGTGTATATATGCTTGTGAGGAAGAGATAGCTATCTGTGATTTAGTCATCTTTTACTTCATCAAAGAGGGATCGGATCGAAGAGTATATGAAGGCTTAAAATTTATCTCTCAACCTGCAGGCGCCAAACTCACATGTACGGTTTAGTCTGTGCGAGCTATGAATAAGAAATCGTCAAGTCATTGACATATAATTTGAACTTAGATGATGAAGGCATTTGGTAGAACAAGAGAGTGGCTGAGGAGCTGTTTTGGGAAGATGGCAAACGCACGAAAGGGATTGAATACAGCTCATTCGGACAGATTAGGACAGGAAGGATATGTGACGTCAAAAGAAGATTTTTTGTACTCAATAATGTTAGCTTGATTTAGTAACAACGTGAAGTGTTATGATAGATAATACTTCGTTGGGGGTTTCCAAGTCAGTTTGGGTTTAGTATCCCAACTCCTCGTTGTAGGTTTCGGTACCGAAAGGAAGGAATCAATTTTTGATATGAACTCCTGTAAAACTAAGACTGAAATATTATTGTCTCTCTGATACTCGAATAATCCCCGATGAAGTCACGTTATGTACGTTAGTAGAAACATTTGGTTGTGTTCTTTATTCCTCCATGCAAGCTTAAAAAACACGCAACGCGTGGACTACATAATTTAGAATATGGAGGATGTAGTTTTTATATTCATTTTGGGTTGTTCGATAAATATAAGAGAACGACTTTGATTATGACACGTTGATCCATTGGTTTGTTTGACTAATTGCTACATGAAAGAACGGTAGTTATTCTATGTCTGATAACAGTATTCTCATTATGAAAATAGTAAAAATATATAAGACATAAAGAAGATAAAAATAAATCATATATGCGTGTAGAGTAAAGATTATGATGACTTTACGATTTTGTTATTGTTGTGTGTCAAGCAAAAAATGAAAACAAATAAAAAAAATTAAAAAGAAAATATATGAGACACTGCCAAATCCATCTCCGGCGAGTTTGACATCATATTGACTAGGAAATGTGTCGATGGAATTCGACCCCATTGAGACCATCTCATGCAGAGGCTGATGATAACCAAGTCTGTCTGTCCATTGACGCAGCAGCAGCAGTTTTGAGTTTCAGCAGAAAACGGTTCAACATGGCACGCTGATACAGGAAACAAAAATTCAGCTATCATTCGTCAATCATACATAATTTACTTGAGCTGCAGAAATTATCTGGGACAAAGATCAGCACACAACATAAGTAGAGATTTTAGCACTTGAGCAGTAGAAATCGTCTTGGACAAACAACATCGCACAACAAAAGTAAAGATCATTTGATTGAAAACACTAGAGTTGTAGTATCAACAAAGTTCTTCAACTGAGAAATCAACCACCGGGTGAAACAACAACATCCATTCGCTTACAGAACAGGAAGAAATATCACCAGAGCATCCAAAGTACAAGAAATTGAAAAAGTATGAACATAGGTGAATCAAGCATTTCTCATGTTGACTCATTAAAGAAACCCTGAAAAATACTTTTTCAACAAATCGACTAGGAAACTCAAAAAAGTTTTCACCGAGCAATGATATTATTTAAACATTCTTCCAAATAACATCCTTTGATCAATCTCAACAATAACATCCACCTCTTGTCAAAACTGATTTCCTGTTAATGAAAGGCAACTAAGTACCCACCCGAACAAGTATTTTAATCACCCCTCATCCTCCCCCGCACCATCCATGTCATAGTTATCCTCTCTACTTTGTTCCATGTTCACCAGAATCAACTAATAAACAATAATTCAAAATACTAAACAAAATGTGCACAACTAGCAGATCACACACACGATTATAAATAAATAAAAAATCAAACTACATTTCGAACTCCAAAGTGCACAAGATCAAAAGATTATTATAGATTCCATAGAAATATTCTGAAAGTAGAGGAAGAAAATGACAAATAGAATGTAGAATGTAACAACAAATGGATGCATCAAAAAGAATGTAGCTAGTAAATTGGACAGTCCAAATTTAGAGGACAAATAATAATAGTCTCTTGTAAAGAAACTAAACAAGACAACAAAACAGACTACCTAATAAAATTAATCAAGTTTTTCCTCCTGCTTAGATAAGTATTCCTGATGCAGAGTTTGTATGATGATAGTCATACTGCCATGTGTTGGATGACATTAATGATGTCATTAATCAAGTTTGTATTGATGAAAGTCGTACTGTGACATTGAGGAAGCTTATCAGTGAGAAAGGACCTGGATGGTTGGCTCAAAAACACATTTGATGAGAGAATCTTTGATGGACAACAACTCGGGAGACTCACTCTTCAATTTTGTAGTATCCATCTCGTTATTGCTTCGAGGTGCTACTATGACTTTAGCCTGTATTTCCAGTGTAAAATAGATCCATTAAAAGCAGGGGTCAATGTAGATCTTCTACATTTCTAGGATTTAGGGTTTAGGGTTTCTACAGCTTCGAATCCATCACATTGTGGCTCACCACACCAGGATTGGTAAAGTTCCATACGCCTCTGCAATTTCTCTTTGCCATCTCAATTGAAATGGGGACAAGTTCATCTAAAACCATCATGCTATTTGGAATGTTCACAACTTTGTCATAACAAGTAATTTTAGTAATGAATTTACATGGATTGCTACGATCAGAAGATATTGGCACTTGAACTCTAAGGGTACAGACATTATCATATTCCCTCAAAAGCTCTTCAACCTGTGTCACAGACCAACAATAACTAATTTGTTAGCTTTTAAGAATATGCAAAAAAACATTAAGTTAGAAAAGATAATTTCATTAAATGCAAGGCAAAAATTACCATTGCTTTAGTTTTCGAATAGAAGGATCCAATAAAGTTTGGATTGTCTTCCACCGTGAATCCAGTGCCCGACACTTCAGGATGTTTAGCATCATGCTCGAAAATACAACCGGTAGCATAATTCATCAGTAACAGGTCATGCTCCCTACAAACATCCGCTAAAGTCAGAGTTCCCACGACAATCGACCGAATTGTCTCCTGCTTATGAGATTCGCACCAGTCAACATTAGGTCTACCAGTCACACCAGCAGCATTGAAAACATGAGTTGGCTTCACGTTCTGAATGTCCAGTATGATATGGGAACGCTCTTCCAAACGCCCCCTTCCATACTCATATGGTATGCCCTGCTTCTCGCATATCTTGCCAAGAAGGCACCCTATCCATCCAGTTCTACCATAGATCAAGAACTTCAAATATGATTTCTTAGGTGGCATCACACTGCTTTTTGAGGCAGGAAGCACCATCCCATTCTGACTATTAGAGGTCATCGACTGAGAAGCCATGGACTTGGTTTCTTCAGAACCATCAATATGCCTTTCAATACCAGGCATCATCAACATCCGTGGATGAGCCAAAAGTGCTCCTGAAACATCTCCCCACCAATCTGGATGGCTCATATACCACTCCATCGTCTTCTTGAGTCCATCATCCCATGCAGTCCGCTCCGACCATCCCAGGTTCTTCAGCTTCTGATAATCCAAAAAGTACCTCTGGTCATTGAAAGGCCGATTCTCCACAAACTGAACGACCTTATCTGGGTCTAGTGAAAAAAGTGCACAGATGTCCTTCGCCACATCAATCACTCTCCTTTCTATCTTTGTGCCGATATTATAAACATGCCCAACTTCTCCTCTGTGGAGGATGACATCAAAAGCCTCTGCAACATCCTCACAGTACAAAAAGCTTCTAGCATTGGAGCCATCACCGTAAATCGGAAGTGGCTGCCCTCTCATGGCCAAAAGAATAAATTTTGGGATCAGCTTCTCCGGAAATTGAAATGGCCCATACACATTGTTTCCTCGGGTAGTGATCACAGGCAAGCCGTATGACTTTCCATAAGCCATAACAAGCATCTCAGCCCCGGCTTTTGTTGCCGAGTATGGGTTGGTTGGCAGAAGTTGAGACCCCTCGTGTTTGCCAACCGTGGCATCCTCATCTGTCTCTCCATAGACCTCATCAGTGCTAACATAGATAAACCTCCTAACCCGACCAGTGACGTTGCAGGCATCCAGGAGAACGTGGGTGCCGTAGATGTTGTTCTTGGTGAACTCAAAGGAGTTACCAAAAGAATTATCAACATGGGTCTGGGCTGCAAAATGCATGATGGTATCAATCGATTCGGTGATCAGGAGGTCGTTGATGAGGTCAGCGCTCCTAATATCATCCTCGACAAACTTGAAGTTGGGAGAGGAGCGTGATGGGTTGAGGTTATTGAGGTTGGAGCAGTAATCAAGCTTGTCGAGAACCACGATCTTGTACTGGGGGTAGTTACAAACGAGGCGGTTGGCGACATGGGACGCAATGAAGCCTGCCGCTCCGGTTATGAGTATGTTTTTGGGTTTGTACGTCGGCGCCATCTACAGACTGAACTCTGCCAAACAAAGATCGCACATTGTCCACACATGGCAGCAAGCAACTTGCAAACTAATCTGAAGCAATAATTACAGAAAAGAAGACCATAAATTGCTCACAGAGGGCAAACGGGATCGTAAAATATTCTGGGGAAAAGGTAAAAGTCGAACATTTTTGGTCGATTAGGGGTTTCCACCTGCGCTTGAATTTGACGATAACAAGATACACCAACCGGAATCGCGAAAATAAGGAACCAAAATCCGTATATCTTGAACAGAGCAACAAATACAACCAGTTATCTATCAATGTGATGTGAATCAAAGAATAGTTCTCGAGTCATCAGAACCAGAAATATCGAATCAAAAAGGCTCCACGGATCAACAACGAAATCATCAAATCTATATTCCATTAAACGGTCAGCCAATTCATCAAACACAGAATGCACAAGAAAATAACCGATCCGGTCCAGGTCACGTGTCATTCGAGAAAACCCGACGAGAACCAAATCCAGATCTGAAGGTAATGCAATGCCCATCGCAACAACTCGAAAACAAGTACCAACAACAGATGGATAGGGAGGGAGAGGAAAAGCTTACGCGAGATGGTGAGCAGGAGGAGGGAGGAACGGGGAAGGCTTATTCCGACAGGAGAACGAGTAAGGACCACCGGATGCGAAGCGGCGATGAGAAAAGGAACGGGGGGAATGCAGAGCGGCGATGAGAAATGTGATTAATGAGGCGGTTAAAGAGATAAGAACATATTTGAGGAGGTGAAAGGAACCTCTAAACAATCACATGCGAAGCACGTGCGTCCCATCAGAAGCACGCTTCTCGCCATCTTCTGGAAAAGGCGCGATCAACTTCTTGGTTCGTTCGTTCATCATTAAAAGCCTTATTGGGACGAGAAAGAGAGCCAAACACGGCTCAATCCTTTCATCCACGAACCTGTCAGGTGTGAATTGCGCTGTTGCTGCCTCGACTACGGGGGAATGAAGTCATTCTCCTCCAGTCTGATATTTTCTAATGGAAACTTGAGAAGTTCAGCAGATTTCTTTCAACAATATATTTATCATCGGTTGCCTTCTTCGATGGAGATTTTATTTATATATATATAATGCATAGTAAAAAGGATAATTTTTATTCAAAATCTCTTCTTTTTTAGCTTTTTTGGAAGGTGTTCATGTTTTTATATTTTAGAGATAGATAGTATTCATATTTCCTTTAATTTAATAAAGAACTCCCCCTCGACAGTCGATAGTCGAGCCCTCCTCTCCCTTCTCCCCCTCGTAGCCCACCGTCCAATCCCACGATCACGACATGTCAGTGCTTGTGCTGATGACGACTGAGATCTCACAGTAACATCCAATGTCAACCTCTTGTCAAAACAGAGTTCCTGTTACTGAAAGGCAACTTGGTGCCTTCCTGAAGATTAGCTCCATGCCTACTTGGCAATTCACCAGGATCAACTAGTAAAAAATGATTCAAAATAATAAACAAAATGTACACAATCAAAAAAATAATCAAACTGGATATCCATGATTTGGACTCCATTGCGCACAAAGATCGAAAGATAGATTCCATAGAAATATTATCAAAGTAGAAGAAGAAAAAAAATGACAAATAGAATGCAGAATGTAAACAATAAATGGATGCATTAACAGAATGAAGCTACTACATGCCACATAGAGTGGACAGTACAAATTTAGAAGACAAATAATAATAGCCTCTTGTAAAGAACCTAAACAAGAACAAGGCAGACTACCTAATAAAATTAATCAGGTTTTTCCTCCCGCCTAGAAAAAAGTATTCCTGATGCAGAGTTTGTATTATGATAGTCATACTGCAAAGTATTGAATGACATTAATGATTAAAATACTAAGGGTCAACTGCTTAGTTCCAAAGTCTAGGGAAACTGTGACATTGAGGAAGCCTATCAGTGAGAAAGGACCTTCTTGTTTGGCTCAAAAACAAACTTGATGAGAGAATCTTTGATGGACAACAACTCAGGAAACTCTCTCTTTAATTTTGTAGCATCCATCTCATTGTTGCTTCGAGGTGCAACTATGACTTTAGCCTGTTCTTCCAATGTAAAATTGGTCCACTTAAAACTGGGATCAATGTAGCTCCTGTACATCTCTAGGATCTCATTGTGGCTTACCACACCAGGATTGGTAAAGTTCCATATTCCTCTGCAATTTCTCTTTGCCATCTCAATTGAAATGGGGAGAAGTTCGTCTAAAACCGTCATGCTATTTGGAATGTTCACAACTTTGTCATAACGAGCGATTTTGGTAATGAAGTTACGTGGATTGCTAAGATCAGAAGATATTGGCATTCGAACTCTAAGGGTACAGACATTCTCATATTCCCTCAAAAGCTCTTCAACCTGCATCATGGCCCAACAATAACTAATTTGTTAGCTTTTAAGAATACACAAAATAACATAAGTTTGAAAAGATAATTTCTTTAAATGCAACAAAAAGTACCATTGCTTTAGTTTTTGAATAGAAGGATCCAATAAAGTTTGGCTTGTCTTCCTCCTTGAATCCAATGCCCGACCTTTCAGGATGTTTAGCATCATACTCAAAAATACAACCGGTAGCATAATTCATTAGTAACAGGTCATGATCCCTACAGACATCTGCCAAATTCAGAGTTCCCACAACATTCGTGCGAATTGTCTCCTGCTTATGAGATTCGCACCAGTCAACATTAGGTCTACCAGTCACACCAGCAGCATTGAAAACATGAGTTGGCTTCACATTCTGAATGTCAAGTATGAGATGGGAACGCTCTTCCAAACGACCCCTTCCATACTCGTATGGTATCCCCTGCTTCTCGCATATCTTGCCAAGAAGGCCCCCTATCCATCCAGTCCTACCGTATATCAAGAACTTCAAATATGGTTTCTTAGGAGGTACCACGCTGCTTCTTGCAGCAGGAACCACCATCCGGTTCTGACTATTAGTGGTCGTTGACTGCGAAGACATGGACTTGGTTTCTTCAGACCCATCAGTATGCCTTTCAATACCAGGCATCATCAACATCCGTGGATGAGGTAAAAGTGCTCCTGAAACATCTCCCCACCAATCTGGATGGCTCATATACCACTCCATCGTCTTCTTGAGTCCATCATCCCATGCAGTCCGCTCCGACCATCCCAGGTTCTTCAGCTTCTGATCATCCAAAAAGTACCTCTGGTCATTGAAAGGTCGATTCTCCACAAACTGAATAACCTTAACTGGGTCTAGTGAAAAAAGTGCACAGATGTCCCTCGCCACATCAATCACTCTCCTTTCTCTCTTTGTGCCGATATTATAAACATGCCCAACTTCTCCTCTGTGGAGGATGACCTCAAAAGCCTCTGCAACATCTTCAGAGTACAAATAGCTTCTCACATTTGAGCCATCACCGTGAATCGGAAGTGGCTGCCCTCTCATGGCCAAGAGAATAAATTTTGGGATCATCTTCTCAGGGAATTGATTTGGCCCATACACATTGTTTCCTCGGGTAGTGATCACAGGCAAGCCATATGACCTTCCATAAGCCATAACAAGCATCTCAGCCCCAGCCTTTGTTGCCGAGTATGGGTTGGTTGGCAGAAGTTGAGATGCCTCGTGGTTGCCAACCACAGCGTCCTCATCAGTCTCTCCGTAGACCTCATCGGTGCTAACATGGATAAACCTCTTAATCTGACCAGTGACCTTGCAGGCCTCCAGGAGGACGTGGGTGCCATATATGTTGTTCTTGGTGAACTCAAAGGAGTTACCAAAAGAATTATCAACATGGGTCTGGGCTGCAAAATGCATGATGGTATCAATCGACTCGGTGATGAGGAGGTAGTTGACGAGGTCGGCGCTCCCAATATCACCCTTGACAAACTTGAAGTTCGGAGAGGAGCGCGACAGGTTGAGGTTCTTCAGGTTGGAGCAGTAATCAAGCTTGTCGAGAACCACGATCTTGTACTCGGGGTAGTTCCAAACGAGGCGGTTGGCAACATGGGACGCAATGAAGCCTGCCGCCCCTGTAATGAGGATGTTTTTGGGTTTGTACGTCGCCATCTATAAACTAAATTCTGCCAAAGAAAGATCGCACGTTGTTTACACATATCAGATCCAAAATCACAAGCGTTCATCGAGCAATTAAATTGCAAAGTGATTTGCAGCAATAAAAGAAGACCTAAAATTGCTCAGAGATCGGCAAACGTGATCGTAAAATATTCTGGCGACAACGTAAAATCGAACATTTTTTGGTCAATTAGGGGTTTCACCTACGCTTCAATTTGTCGATGAAAAGATATGCCAACGAGAATCGCGAAAATAAGGAACCAAAATTTGTACATCTTGAACAGAACAACAAATACAACCGGTTATCCATCAAGATGATGTGAATCATAGGTTGATTCTCGAGTCATCAGAACCACGAATATCGAATCACAGGTTCCACGGAACAACAACGAAATCATCAAAACTACATTACATTTTAAGGTCGGGCAATTCATCAAACACAAAACGCATAAGTAATACACAAATCTAGCACGAGAACCGATCCGGTCCAGATCCCTTGTCATCCAAGAAAACCCTACGAGAACCAAATCCAGATCTGACGGAAAAGCAAGGCCTGCATGAAAAGGAACAACGAAAAAACGCATATTTTTTGCAGAAAAAAAGAAAAACACAGCTCCTAGAACAGCAAAAACCTATCGCAAGAACTCGAAAACAACTACCAACAGATCGATCGGGAGAGAGAGAGAGAGAGAGAGGCTTACGTGATCGGGAGCGGAAGGAGGGGAAGAGGGAAGCCTTCTTCCGACAAGAGAACGAGCGATGGGGAGGAAGAAAGGGAATCCAGAATGCGGGATGGCTGTGATACCCTGACCAACGCGGAGGTGATGAATGGGAACCGGCGACCGACAAGAAGGGGAGGATTTATCGCGTGAGCAGGAAGATGAGGGAGCTAATTAACGAGGCGTTAAGAGATGATGGAGAGATTTGAGGAGGTGACGGAGGGAGGAGAGATCCAACGATCACATGACAAGAACAGTACTAATATTTGTTCTTAAATAAAATAATAATAATAATAATAACAATAAATTTAAATATCAATCGCATTCGGTCACCTGCTAGGAAAAAAAAAGTTGGTGACATTTTTGTTAGTACAACGGGGTCTGATCCGTATGCGAGGAGTCGTTTAGAATGAAGTCTCACTTCTCTAGACTCGTTCCTATACAAAGATAAAAGTCAAAAGTAGCTTATCAAGGATCCCTTCGACGTTTAAGTTAGTATCGAGATCTCTCCTATAATATAGAGTTAATGGTATATTTTTATACTAACTTTAAGAAAAAAGAATATCCCATAAAGATTCCACGAGAAAAATAATTCATAATCAATGTTTCTAAATTTTCGAGAATATTCCTAGGAATATTTCACAAAGGAGACGATTAATAAATGACCCGAGCTATCCCAGATTTTCGAGAATATTCCTATAAATATTTCATAAGGGAGATAATTCAAATATTATACATGGGAGGTAATTCGAAACCAACTCGAGCTGTCCCTTGGACTTCAATAAATATTAATGTAAATATTCTACAATGGAGATAGTTCGTAATCAACTCGAGTTATCCTCTTAGATTTTCAAGAATATTCCTATGAATACTCAATAGGAGAAGCTTCTAAAAATATTTCTATAAATATTTTACATAAGAGGCAACTCACCCGAGTTGCCTTTTGGAATCTTATACACATGGGCAAGAGGGTATTGATCTTACGTGGCATTGATGTAATGAACGATGGCTAGTTGATTTTATATTCCCTATCATTTATTCCTTCCCCCTCCGGAAAATATACTTTGGTGCTTTTTTACGATTAGAATTACGTCATTTGATTTTTTTTCTTTCTTTTTTAATCTTATGTAGGTCAAGTTTTCATGCATCTAGGACGTACTTTACCTTGTGCTTTCATCATAGTGGGTTTTACATAGCGTGAGTTGTATTTTCGTTAACTTGTGCGTCTCAAACGCCTCTCTAGCTCGATCTTTCACTATAATAGATTTCTTTTCTATGTGCAACAAGTTTTCTTAACACATGCATCTTGGGCATACTTCACCTTGTGCTTCTAACATAGTAGGTTTTACTTGGCACAAGTAAAATTTTTCTCAACTCATGCGCCTCATTTCAGAGGCCTTATCCACTATTGAGCTACTCCGTAATATTTTCGTTTATCTTTTTGTAGATCGATGTCTAATTTTGGTTGTAGGGATCTGGTTTATCTATTGTAATTTTTCTTATAGTGTCCTCAATAGGACTCGAGGGTTACCTTATGGATAAAACTTTAAGTTGGAGATGTGTCATATTGTTGGTAATGCCCCACATTCTATTATACTAAGGCGATATGTCTCATCTTGGATGATTTTGATGACTCGGTATGGTCCTTCCTAGTTTAGTGCTAGCATTCCTCGAGATCGAGTCTGATTACTTATATCAGCCTTGCGTAGCACAAAATCTCCTAGTCGAATTCTCAAAGGACAAATATCTTGGTCGTAGAGTTTGGCCACTACCTTCTTATAACTTATAATTCTCAGATAGGCAACTACTCAAGTCTTATTGACTAAGTTGAGTCTGGCTCAAAGTCCTACTTTATAGGAGATGATGACTACCGAAATGGTCCATACAACCGAGTGAGTTTGATATATAATATATGCCAAGAACTATCATAAAAGTCTAGGCTCTAGCATATTTCATCTCGAAGCTGACTCCCTCACTTGAGGACGACAACCATACTCCCACACCATGGACATTATTTGTCAGTGACTTAGCCACCTCAAAGATTGGTGGCGTCGATATTATCTAAAAGGGCTCAGACTAGCAGATGCATGAGTAAGCCCTCATATTCGAATTTAAATTTTCTAACAATAAGGCTGAATACAAGACACTCCTCTCGGGACTTCAACTCGCATAGGAACTCTAGGTCTAAGAATTAAAAATATTCAATGACTCGTAATTAGTCGTAAGCTAGGTAGAAGAAAACTATGAAGCCTGAGATACAACTATGACAAAGAACCTCACTAACGTGCAAAAATTGGCTCACAGCTTCTCTTGACTCCATGTGTTTCGAATATCACGTGAAAAAAAATCAAAGTGGATGCACTTGCCCAATTAGTATCTACCCTAACTCTCAAACAAGGTTGTCCACTGGTCAAGACATTTTCCATTTGAGCTATTGAGAAGCTCGACAAGACTATGGTCAAGGAAGAACCAAACTAGATGGATGAGATCCTATTCTACAAAAAGACATGATGCTCCCAACCAATCTTGCAGTGGCCCGAATAGTCAAGCACCACCAAGCATGGTATTGTCTAATCAATGGTCTCCTATATTGCAAGTTATCCAACCAACTGCTCCTCGGATGCTTAAAACCCCATGAAGCTAAGATGGTGCTTACCAAGGTACATGAGAGTATATATGGAGAACACATCGATAGATGGACCCTTGCCTTCAAGGTATTTCGATAATGGTTCTACTAGCCCACACTACGCAAAGATGCGATTGCTTTCACTCAAAGGTGCTACATGTGCTAGGAATTTGCTCAGATGCCACGACAACAAGCAGTCCCCTTTAGCTCGATCAATTGCGGGTGATCATTTGTTGAATTGGGTATGGACCTTCTCAGGCCCTTCTAATCGACTTTGGGTTAACGAAGGTTCCTCATCGTAGGGATCGATTATTTCGCATAGTGGGTAGATGCTAAGCCGTTAGCATTAGTAACTAAGAAACAAGTCAAGAGGTTTATATGAAAGAATATTATCACCCATTTCGATATACCAAAGACTCTCATAACATATAACGGGACTTAGTTCAACAACCTAAAATTCAGTAAGTTCCTAGTCCTATGAAATCCAGCTAGGATTCAACTCAGTGGCTCAATCTCAAATCAATAATTTTACTAAATTCACCAACCGATCTATCCTTAAAGGTCTTAAAAAAGTAAGTCATCGGATCGAACGTAACCCGAGTGGATGAGTTATTGAGCATCCTATGGGCTTCTTGAATGACACCTAAGACCATATTGAAAGAATCCCCATTACCCTAGCCTTATGTACCGAGGTTATTATGCCACTTGAGATAGTTTTCCCAACACCCCATATTGAGAACTTTAATGATGTCAAATGGAGATTAAACCTATTTGAGTGGATGGTTGATAATGACATGTATGACATGCACTTGAAAGTATAGACAAAACTTTCTCACTATGAGAACTAGTTCAAATGCTAGTCGCTTTATACATGGGTATCACTCCTCGAGTCTGCTTTGAACATGGCTAACGTAATAGATAGGCCTTTGACTTTTTGCATTGTCTTGAATTAGTACGAAACTGATGCTCAAGTTAGTGGCGACAAAATAGAGATTTAGAATTTCTCCCAAGGTGGAGGTCAACTAATCAAGATAGGAAATGACTCAGTGTCACCATTCACCCCATTAACAATTGGACTTTTTTTATCGATCGAGGTGAGCAAATTTCCAATATGGCTTGTATCATTTTAGGATTTGCGTCTATCCCCTTCTAGTATATAATGAATCCGATAAACTTTCGTGAGCCAACTCCGAAAATATATTTGGTTGGATTAAGATGAATGTTGAATCTTTTTAAGATTTGAAAAGTTTCAACTAGGTTTGTCAAGTGTGAGTTGGTCATTCTGCTCTTGACTATCATATTATCTATATATACTTCAATATTCCTCTCGATATTGTGCTTTATGATTTTATTTATCATCCTTTGGTATGTTGTCTCCTACATTTTTTAGTAGTAATATGTGTCTTTGTTGGTGATGAAGGATATGTGTTCTTAATCTTTTAGTATCATTTTTATTTGGTTATACACTAAAAATACATCAATGAAAGTGAGGAGATCATGACCCAAGGTGGCATTGACCAGTTTATCTACCTGAGGGAGTGGATAGCTATCCTTTGAGTATACTTTGTTGCAAATTCATATAGTCAACACACATCCTCTAGTTTTCATTTGACTTTTTAACAAATACAATATTAGCAGGCCATTACGAGTATTGCACCTTGGTAACGAAGCCTACTCTTAATAGCTTGTCAATTTCATTACTAATAGCTTGCTAGCATTTGAAGGCAAATTTGTGGAACCTTTACTTGATTGGTCAAGCTCCAAGAGAGATGTTTAGATAATGTTAGGTCACATCCGGATTGATTCTTGGCATATCACTTATTAATCATGCGAACACCTCGGTGTTCTTCTTGAGGAAGCTAATAAGTTGTACTCATGTCTCGTCAGGTAACATTACACACATCTTGATGACCAGATCGAGGTGAGCCCTATCCATGGGTATTTTAATCAATGGTTCCACTGGTTTTAGGTGTAAACGGGTTTGACAAAATCTCGAGAGTCTGCATATAGTACCTCGGGTTGAACCTTCTTATACAAGGAGACCGTCATGAGGTAGCACTATCAGGATTCCCTTAGGTTGCTCCTCAATTTACCAATGTTGATATTAGTTGAGAACTTTATCATCATGTGGTGGTTTGATACTATTGCATGTAGTTTGTTCAATATATGTCAACTTATGATAGCATTGTATGCCAAGGAAATTTTACCACTATTAACTTGGTCATAACTATTTTGGAGTATGGCTCATCTCCAAATATAACATGTTGAGTCACAATTTCAAGAGAGGAGATTATGTCGCGTGTGAATCCTATCAGCGAGGAATCCATAAGGGTAAGGTCATTAGTCATAACTCAAGTTTTTGAAAAGCATCGACTTAGAGGATATTAACAAAGCTACCTGTATCAATCATAACCCTCTTTACACGGACGCTGACCATTCTCACAGAGACCACCAAGGCATTATTATAGTTTGGGTCGATGTATTATATTTTTTCCTCTCTAAAAGTTATTTATTGGTCACCTATAGTCTTGGGGTGCTTTCAAATAATGGCTCTAGTGTAAGCTTTGTGAACCAAGGTACTATCTCCCCTTGAGGTTAGACCATTGATGATGATGTTGATTTG